ACAGTGTGTCCTGAGTACTGTGCTTTGTCCTGCAGGGCCATGAACGGGCTGTCCGTCAGCGAGCTGTGCTGCCTGTTCTGCTGCCCCCCCTGCCCCAGCCGCATCGCCGCCAAGCTGGCCTTCCTGCCCCCTGAGCCCACCTATGCCCTGCTGCCCGACCTGGAGGCCAGTGTGGGGGCCACCAGCACCCTGGGGGTGTCTGGGCTGCGTTCCCGGGTGGGAGGCGCCGGCAGCGGGGGAGGCGGCGGCGGCGGCGGGGGGGGCGGTGGCGGCGGCGGGGAGGGTGTCTCGCGCTGGAAACTGCACCTGACAGAGCGCGCAGAGTTCCAATATTCCCAGCGGGAGCTGGACGGCACGGAGGTGTTCCTGACGCGCTCCAGCCGCGGCAACAGGGTGGGCTGCATGTACATCCGCTGCGCCCCCACTGCCAGGTAAGCACCCCCCAGTTCCAGGTACACACCCTGCGCCTCAAGTCTCCCACTGCCCTCAAGTCTCCCACTGACGGTTTTCTCTGCTTGCCTGTCTCCCCTCTCCCTCCAGGTTCACGGTGCTTTTCTCCCATGGCAATGCTGTGGACCTGGGCCAGATGAGCAGTTTCTACATCGGCCTGGGAACCCGCATCAACTGCAACATCTTCTCCTATGACTATTCCGGCTACGGCGTGAGTACAGGGAAGCCCTCGGAGAAGAACCTGTACGCGGACATCGACGCCGCCTGGCAGGCCCTGCGGACGCGGTGAGCGCCATTCTCGGCTGATCACATGACCTGCGAGCCCACCACACCACCAACCCCCCTTACTGCTGCCCCCCCACCCCGCGCACTGTTCTTCCCTCAGCTCGTTCCAAGCTCTGTGGGTCTCCGCAGGTATGGCATCAGCCCAGAGAACATCATCCTGTACGGGCAGAGCATCGGCACCGTGCCCACCGTGGATCTGGCCTCGCGGTACGAGTGCGCCGCCGTAATCCTGCACTCGCCCCTCACCTCGGGCATGAGGGTGGCGTTCCCCGACACCAAGAAGACCTACTGCTTCGACGCCTTCCCCAAGTGAGTACCCCCTTCCGCCCCAGCGATCGCTTCAGCTGGTCTTTAAATACCAAGTGATGGTTATTTATTCTGTCAGCTCCGTTAAGGATTGACAAGGATGGGCAGCAAGATGGCGCAGTGGTGAGCATTGCTGCCTTGCAGCGCTGGTGCCCTGAGCTCAGTTCTGGACCTGGGGTGCTGTCTGTGTGGAGTCAGTATGTTTTCCTCGTGTTTATGTGGGTTTACTCTGGGTGCTCCAGTTTCTTCCTTCAGTCTACAGACATGCTGGTGGGTTGATTGGCTTCTGGGAAAACTGGCCCTGGTGTGAGTGTCTGTGTGTGCCCTGTGATGGAAAGACGACATGTCAAGAGTGTACCCTGCCTTGTGCCTGTTTGCTGGGATAGGCTGTGGCTCTCCGGAGCCCTGTGCTGGATAAATAGGTTAGATAGAGGGTTAATGAGGTTTTTTAAATCCTGCATCAGTTCTTCTTTCGGTTCCACGATGTGGAGCAGACGTAACAGAGCTGCACGTGTGCTGTCTTCTACAATCTTAAGCCCTTTCCTCCTCTCCCTCCTCCTCGTCTCTAGTATCGAGAAGGTGTCGAAGATCACCTCCCCGGTGCTCATCATCCACGGCACGGAGGACGAGGTGATCGATTTCTCGCACGGGCTGGCGCTGTTCGAGCGCTGCCCCAAGGCCGTGGAGCCGCTGTGGGTGGAGGGCGCCGGGCACAACGACATCGAACTGTACAGCCAGTACCTGGAGCGCCTGCGCCGCTTCATAAGCCACGACCTGGCTGGGCAGCACGCCTGACATCGCCCCTGGCCAAGACTGGGCCAGCCAGCAGCTGACCCCCGACCCCTGACCCCCGACTCCTGACCTCCATGCAACCTGGGTGACCAGCATGACCGATTCCACCCACCCTTGTGCTCTCTGTCAGTGTGGGTCTCTTTCTCGGTGGCTGCTTGTCTGTTTGTCCTGTCTGTCCTGTCCACTGGCCTAATTCCCTCCCTGTTATCTCTAGCCCTGTGCCTCCCCCTCATTCTCTTCCTATGTCTCCGTGTCGATCTTCTCTCTCTCCCAACCTCGCATAGGGGAGAGCTCTGCGCTGTCCCCATCCCCAGTCCTGTGGTGCCTCCCGGTCTGTCCCTCGCAGTCTCCTTCCTCAGTCCCTCCTGACCAGAGAGCGCGGTGAGGTCAGGGTTTGGGGAGTGATTCCCACCGGGGATTGGCGTTACCCGCAGTGAGGGAAGAGGCCCTCTCGGTCCCAGCACAGAGACGGACGGCCCGCCCTGTCCTCTCCTCCGAACAGACAGCGGGGAGGAAATCCCAAGAGGATCTGGACGGCGGAGAGGGTCTGTGTTTCATGTTGGGCCCGGGGCCATGTGGGAGAGCTTTGCGGCCAGGCCTGGTTTTCTTCTCCTGGTAAAAGGAGGCCGTGCAGCCATAGGGCAGGGCAGGCGCCTAGGGCCTGTAGGCTCCCAGCCCGCTGCGCAGTCAAGTCTTAATTGCTTAATTGCTAACGGGAGTCAGAGCTTCGGTGGAGTGGAAATCGGAACAGCCATCTCTTCGTTACCTGAGTAGCTGACTGGTGGCTGAGGTGTCTGGGGCAGTGGGAGGCCACAGGGGGGCACTCTTCTGGTTTTGCATGGCTGTCCCAGAGCTCAGCCCTACCTCCCAGCTGCACCACCCCTGTGGTTACTGGGTCTGGAGGCAGCGGATCTTCAGCCCATACCCTCTACACAGCGCTGCCTGTCTGGCGCAAACCCACCTCTGTCTGCTGAGTTTCGGGTTGCTGCAGGCAGGAGAGCATTTCAAGACTCCCTCAGCGTCTGCAGCAGGACTGTGGCCGGGGGGGACGTCCTGACTCACACCAGCACACGGACAGGACAGGCGACGGACCGGACGGATGGACGGACAGGACTGGACTCACTGGCAGAGAACACTAATCTGAAACAGCCGAGTTGGCGGGACAGGCAGGTGGCCTGGTCACATTGGGACCGTCCAGCTTTGCAGATCGCCGGGCAAGCGGTCTCCGTGTGACTGGGCCAGTCCTGGGGTTTAGAGGTCTCCCTAAATCACCTCGTCCTCGCAAGGAACCCTTATGGAATCATGAAAGTGATTTGTTCAGTTAAGGACATTCTGTTTTTTTAGGTCAAGATTTGTACAGCATTTGATCTCTTAATTTTACAAAACTCTCAGTTAAATTGTTCCAGGACTTTAGAAATTTCAGTTTTCATGATGACATGTACAAACTGATGGGTTGGGGCTCTTTTGGATAAGTGCAGGAGATACCTGCATCAAATCACCAGTTTCCTTTCAGCCAGAAAGTTAATTAAACCTTGGTGTAATTTAACCCTGCTGGGACTGGTTTAACACTTTTTAATCGTTTTAATCAGTTGATTTTCCCACTTTAAGTCATGCCCACAAACCTGACTGGGCTGCTGTTGTCTACTTTTAGCAGTCAGGCGTGTTTACAGTCGCATGGAAACAGTGTTTTGGGGAATTTTAATAAGGGGCACATTTCTACAGGCTAACTGGTGCAAAGTGTTCAAGCAGTTACACTCCTGGCCCAAGCCAGTAGGGAGCTGTAACAAAGTGCTGAATTCTTCTGGGCTGTCTGTGTGCCTCAGGCTTGATCTTTTGCAATATTGAAGCCCAAAATGAAACGGGGGGGAATAATTAAAATAGCGATACCCACCTGCAGGTGAACTGCTGACCTAGGCTACTCCTGGTCACTGCAGGGGTCAGGCTGCTGACTTACAAGTTAGGATTCAAACCCCAAATGCTCCATAACTGACCAGCTCCTTGGCTGCTCTTGTGGGGCCCCGGGGTTCTGGGGGTCCTCACGGATTCTGGGGTGCAATCAGCTGCTTTGGGGTGGGCTGCAGTCACGGCAACAAGCCCATCTCGGATTCTAACACAACCACTGGGAGTCCAGTGGAGTCCTGGGACTAAAGGGACTGGCTGGACAACTCTGATAATGAAACCCCCTGGTGTCAGGTTCAGGGTTCAAGAGGAGACGGGGAGAGAGAGCTGCAAATTTGGGGTAGAGATGCAGACATGGGCAAAGGACTAGTCTGACCCTTTTTACAAGTAGAATTGTTTCTTTCTCTTTATTTTATAATCACAGATGTGTATGTACTGTTCCATATTGATTTATGTCCTATGACAGGACTTGGGGGTGGGGGGTTGCTGTGTTTTACTGTATCCATTCATTCTTTGTTGATATTTTTGATTTGTAAAATTTAGTTTACAAAGAGAAAATGCAAACTTATTCAAAACCTTTAATTTCCTTTTCCAGAAACGATGTTACAGAGATGCCAATGAATAAAGAGTGAAAGATGAGTTGAGGTGTATTTCTGGGGCCAGAGAGCTCTGTGGGGGGATGGGGGTGTCACTGTCTGTACACATGAGCCCTGCCCTGCTGCAACAGGAGCAATAAAACTGGACATCTTCTTCACCCTGCGGCTCACTGGCCTTGATTGATTCCTGGATCGATTGTTGTGATTGGAGTGAGCGTCTGAGTGGAATGTACAGCCCGGCTCTGTGGCAGTGCTGGGATAAGAGATGGGCCTGGATCTCCCCTGCTCCTCTCCTGAGCGGGGTAGTGGGGTCAGAGAGAGCAACGAGCGTGTGAGAACTGCAGGCGAGATCTGGACAGTGTGGTGAGGACCCAAGTCTTGGGCAGTGATTCGAGCTGTGCTGCAGATTACAGATCTGGCTGAAGATGGCTAATGGAATTAATGTTTAATTAGTGCAGCGAGGGCGGAGCTACATGCCTGGTGGGGGAGGGAGTGACAGATGGACGCAACAATCATGAGTAACAAAGAGACTGCAATTATCTGCTTGCTTTAATTACAACAATACAGCCTGTGTGTCTGCCTGCTCCGAGTTGACAGGAGTGGACTCGGTGGGCTAATCCACACAGATGGGTTGGCATCACTGTCCTGCTTCGCTGCAGACTGTGGGCTCAGCCCTGCCAGGCAAGTGTGTCTTTGTTCCCTGTCCTGTCTAGCCAGCCAGGACCCAGACCTCTGCTCTCCTCCCCGCCGAGAGCTGGGGTGAGGAGCGGACTGGCGCGTCAACAGGTGGGTGTGAAGGGGACCCCCGTTACCTGCACAGCACTTTGAGTGGAGAGGGGGGTGTTAGTGAGGGGGTGTCAGTGAGGGGGTGAGGGGGTGTCAGTGAGGGGTGTTGTGTGGAGGGTGAGGTGTGTCAGTGAGGGGTGTTGTGTGG